GCCTTGGCAAAGGGGACTCTGCTTCATTACTCTGGCTCTCCAGTAATGCTTTACATTTGGCAGTGACTGTTTCAATTCAATTCCCCACCCCTCAACTAGCTGACATTTATCTAATCTTTTCCAGGTCTAAAGAAGTTTAACAACAACAAAAAAAATCGGGTTACTAAGGCATACACCATTCATAAAATGGAAACCTAAGTTTCTTCTTCATGTACCTGTTCTTTCAAGGACGGGCATAAAAATGGGGTAGAGAAGGATAGATAGATAATGACTAGGAAGTTGACTCTGTATTATAAATTGGTCAGATGAATGAAAACAATGATTCCTCCAGGCTTAAAGTACCGCTTAGGTGCTTAACATGACAATTCTGCTATTTCCAAATGATTCTCCAGGTGTTCAATTTGGAAAGGTAATCCGTCCCAGGAAGGCAGACCAAAGAAAAGGTCTCGGGGTCTTTTTTTTTTTTTTTTTTAAGATTTTGTTTATTTATTTGACAGAGAGAGAGAGCGGCAGGCAGAGGGAGAGCGAGAAGCAGACTCTCCACTGAGTAGGGAGCCCGATGCAGGACTCAATCCCAGGACCCTGGGATCATGACCTGAGCCGAAGGCAGATGCTTAACTGACTGAGCCACCCAGGCGCCCCAAGGTCTTGGGCTCTTTAACCAAGTTGGTTCATGATTTTCTCTGTATAACCTTGGTGGGGCTACTTTTTAATCAGTGTAAAGACTAGAAACATGAAAAATTAAGAAATTAACAGCATTGATTTATTTCCCATGAAAAGCTGTTAGAAACCATTTTCAAAATAAAATGTTATTCAGCCACAAATGACCCCATCAATTTCCTATTTGTAGAGAACATTGTTATTGTTAAAGAGCTTTTCTTTATAATCTTTCATGCAGGACAAAAAGTATTGTCTACTTTACAGAAAAACAGTAGAAAAAGTGATTTGCTTAAAGTCCCAACTACTAAGTATAGACTAAACCTTTTTCTCTCAGAGCTCTAACATTTGTTATTTTAGTGCCTTGCTGTTGGTGGTGAGGTGGGGAGGGGAAAGGGGACTGTGGATATGACCAAGAGAAATTTAATTAGCAAAATTAAAAATGTGCTACCACAAGTAGCCTAGTAAATAGCCACTCACGCAAGAAGAGTAATGGTTTATGCCACACAAACAATAAAATCAGCATAAAGTTTTATTTGTTTACCAGCTAATTTACATGGGGGGGGAATTTTTCACTCTGAAATACTGATTGCCTACCAAGAGTTACCAGATGTCAAGAAGTCCATATAAGGAGAAATGAAGTTGCCAAGTTATGTTAAATATTGCAAAAGGACTAAAAGAATGCCATATACTAGCTCCCAATAAGGCCACACAGGTTACTAAAACAAGCTGCTTTGCTTTTAGGTGTGAGTGTTAACAACTGAATGTTAGCACTAACTGGCAATCAGATCTGTTTGCATGACACTCCTTCATATCATGAGTTCACACAAAACAAGTAATAAAAAAGACTCCCTGAGGTTGAAAATAGCATTCTTTCCCTTCATATTTAAGATTAGGACAAATTTATATAACCAAAAAAGATTTAGCTCAATTCCCTTGGCCTAAAAAGTAAAACATCTATGTAAGTTCTGTTTTCTCCTTCTTAAGATAATCTTTCATATGAAATCAAATTACAGATTTCCCATCCAGTGACCTGTTAAGTATTTAAATATTTAAAATATATATTGATGTTATCTCTGCACTTTTGACAAACTCTTGGCAGTTAACTTACACAACAGTTAAGATTTTTGTTCATACAGAATATAACTAAAATAGAACTAAAATAGAACAAGTATTTACTAAGCATTTACTGAATGGAAGATGAAAAGCATGATTAGAGACTATTCTCCCCTGCCATCATAAAAAAAGACAAAAAAAAATCTGAAACTATTGTAATAGGACATAAGGACACATAACCAAAGCAGTAAATAGTAAAGATTACAGAAGGGAGGAAGGGGAAATAAATACCAGCAGGAACTGAATACGACTTCCTAGAAGAGCCTTGAGGGATGGTCAAATGTGGAAGGACAGACGGGGGTGGGGTAAGGGGCACATTCCACATGGGAAAAACAGATTCAGAAGCCTGAAAGAAAAAGGGGCAGAGTATCTTTAGAAGATTATTCAGAAACTGGCACGCATGAGTGTAAGGAAACAATTTGTGAGGTGCCGTTTACTCAAAACTTAAAACTGTGTAAGTATGCTTCTTGGTGAGCAATGGAAAAGACAGGGCCTGGCATGTAGAAGAGCTCAACAAATATTTGGGAATAAGGAAGTAAGAGGAAAAATTAAAGAACAGATCAAACTCATTTTTTTTTAAGAGCTATAACCTTTTAGAGACTAGCAATTCACAAACACAATAGACAGGAAATCCAACACAGTTTTTTCTTTGCTCTTTCCCTTCTAAGAAAATGGTACCAGCACAAGCAAGCCATGTAGATTTTATCAAAACACCTATCGGGCGCCTGGGTGGCTCAGCTGGTTAAGCGACTGCCTTCGGCTCGGGTCATGATCCTGGAGTCCCAGGATCAAGTCCTGCATCTGGCTCCCTGCTCAGCAGGGAGTCTGCTTCTCCCTCTGACCCTCCTCCCTCTCATGCTGTCTCTCATTCTCTCTCTCTCAAATAAATAAATAGAATCTTAAAAAAAAAAAAACACACCTACCTAGGCTTAAAGAGTCTTACCTTTTAGAGATACTCACTGAAATATTTACAGATGAAGTGACAGGTCAGGAACCTGCTTCAGAATAATCTGAGGTGGGGTACAGATGAAGTAAGATTGGCCAAAAATTTATCACTGTTGAGGCTGAATACACGGAAGTTCTCCACACTACTCACCTTTTGTATATGTTTGATATTTTCCCATAAAAAATTAATACACACTCATATACACTGAGTATCCACCATGATAATTATCTTCTGATAATACCTGTCATAATTTTGAGTAGTTTCTACTATTATACCATTATACAAGTCTCTACCAAATCCTCCTTTCACTGGGTGTCTCTAATTCACTCCTTGCTCCATTTCCTAATCCAGGTCTTCACGCAGTATTCTGTGTGCAGCTGACTCCTATCAGCCTCCTCTATGGTTCTCGGTGGGGACTGTGCTGGCATTTGAAGTGGGATAATTCTCTGTTGTGGCAGACTGCCAGCACAGCAGCAACACTACCCTACAGCACCTGAGATAACCAAAACCATACACACACGTTTCCTAATACCACACACTGTAGAGAACTACCCCTAGTGCTAGATAGCAAACACATTTTTCCAACTTACCTCAGTAATTTAGTAGCTCCCCACAGCCTACAAGTTCAGTATTCTATCATGCAAACTACCCCTACCTTTTCCTGGCCATACCCCAATTTCTACCAGAACAATCACCATACAGGCCAGTCTCCTTCATGCTCACTACCACTTCCTGTTTCCCATTCTTGGAATATCTTCTCCTTTACCAGCCTATATCCTCATAATTTGTCTACTCCTAAGCAAAGCATTTTCTCAAGCACTGGTGTCTTTTCTGGATAGTTTCCTCTGCCTGAAATGTGCTTCCACTCCCAAGATTCTACTTACCTGTGAAAGCCCAACTCCAACGTCAGCCTCTCACCAAAGCCTTCTCTGAAGCACCACCCAACCACCAAACTCAAAATTAATTGCTCTCTTTGGCTTTCATAATGACACCATAGAACTTAGTAACACTTGGTTATATAAAACTCTTCCTCCAAGAAGATTTAGTTCTGAAAGCAGGGACTGCTCTGCCCAGTTTTGCAAAACCAGTGCCTAGAACAGAACACTTAGATGCTCAATAAATGACTTCTCTCCTCAGTACAGCACTTGTATTTCCCCAATACACACCTGCTCCCCCAGATTTTCTGGAAATTATTTTAATGTCAATTATCGTAACTCCAAGCCCTTTCCAAACTCTCGAGTACCAGACCAGAACACTTTAGGCACCTGAGTAGCCCACTGACTTAACCAAAAGGATTCAAAGACACCAGACATGGTTCGAATGAACATAAAACTACCACCTTGACTCCGGCTACAAGAAGTTCATTCTGCAGTTTGGAACAATACCCTAAATCACTTTCACCATGAACGGTTTCATCATACACATTCACGAAAAAACTTATTAAACACTTAGATCACCTTACCAAGCCCCGGATTTCTAACGAGCTTCCAATTGAAACCAAAGAGTGAGCTTTAAACTGCCTTTTTGGCTTTGTGACATAAAATAATCTTTCTGGGAAGAAGACCTGGGCAAATATCTCCTTTGGGCTGCAGATAATTTTAAAGGCTTACACACAGAAAGGGCTACGTAAGCAAACACCGATACCACCACCTGCCGAATCCAGGTACAAAGCGCCTTTCGGAAACACGTACGCGCGGAGCAACGCCAGCAGGGAGGGGATAATTCAAACAGTACCAGAGGCTGCATTCTGAACTTTTCCCCCATCAAATGCATCAGTTTTCAGTATCAGTTTTTCCTTTAACAAAAACTTAAAAATAACCGGCTGAATAAGCAAGACGAGGGAAACCTGACTGAAGAGTAAGGCGTTAAAACTTGAGGGCCTTCCCCCTTCCCTGCCGGGGCTCCAACAGCCAAAGTCGATTTGCGTCGCCGCGGCCCCGGGGGCAGGCCGGCTGTGAACAGCCATGGCGACCCGGCGAGGGCAAGGGCCGCCGCGGTCTCCCAACCCGAGGCGCGGAGAAGGCGGCTGAGAGGGGCCAGCCCCAAACCCAGCCCCGCGGGAAAAGCGGAGAAATGCGCCGCCTGCCCCCTCCCACCCAAGCCTCGCTCTTGCCAGGCTGGGCCTGGGCTGGGCCCCTTGCCGGGGAAAGGGGCGGATCCGCCCCGCCCGGGGCCCCGGGAACCAAGGGGCCTCTACCAGACCGATTCCCTTTTGTCCGGGGACTCGGAGCGCCCCTTTCGCCCTCGCCGGGCTCCGAGGGGCTGAGGCCAGGCGCCTCACCGTGATGTTGCAGTGGAGTGTGAGCGGCGGCGGCGAGTGCGGGCTGCCCGGCGGTGCCGGAGGCGGCAGAAGGAACTGGCAATGCAGCTCGTCCAGCTTCCAGCTGACGATGCGGAATCGCTCGTGGTTCTTGTCGAAGATGGACGCCAGGAACTTCAACTCGGCCTTGAGCCCTGACACGGACATCTTCCCCTCATCTCCGGCAGGAGGGGTGCGAAAGGGGAGCCGGGCCCAGAGCCGCCGTCACGGCCGCTACCGCCCCACAGGGCCGGCCTGGGGCCGCACTCTCGCGGCTCCGCCTCTCCCCGCCGCCGAGGCCCACGTCGGATCGCGGCTGAAAAATGGCTAGGGGCACCGAGGCCTCGGCGGGCGGCTGCTCTCTTTGTAACTGACTCCGCCGGCAGGAGACCGCGGCCCCGCGGCTTAAAAGGGCAACAGCGACACCGCCCCCGCTACCGCCTGGGAAAGAGCTGCCCCCACCCCGCCCCCACCCCCTCCCCGCCCCGGCGCGCGCGCCCCGGTTCCGGCGCGTGCACGCGGCCTGCGCGCGGGCTCGCCTGGCCGCCCCCTCCTCGCCTTGACCCAGCCCTCTACTGCCGGGTCCATCTCCTTCGCTCCTCTTGCCCTCGGACGCGAGGCTCGGGGCCGGGTGGCTCCTCGGGGCCGGCTGGCTCCTCGGGGCCTGATCACCTGGAGGATTAGGAAACCCCCTGCGCGCCTCCGCCTCCAAGCCGAGGGGCCGGCCACGTGCGCGGCCTATAGCGCCGGCCACGTCGGCGCGGCTGCGGACGCGCGCCGGCCCCTGGGGGCGGCTCCTCCGCTAGGCTCTGCCGGAGCCACCCCCTCACCTGACCCAGGCGGAGCCCTAGTGGGAGGTGGGCGGCGGGCTGCGGGCTGCGCTTTGGACGCAATGGCACACCTACTTTCATCCTCGCTACTCTAACCCCATAGCCACCACTTAACTAGCCTGGGTTCCTGCCAGCCCCCTTTCCCTCTCTTCCTTTCCTGCCTTGAGATTTTTGTCCTGTTTGCCAAGCTTAAGGAAATCCTCTTCACCTCCCATGGAGGCAGGACTGGCCTATTTTCAGTAAAGTCTTAGCTCAAATGTCCTCTCAGAGAGGGCCTCCCAGACCACCCAATCTAAAATAGCCAACCAGTCACCCTATATCACATAACCCTATGTTAATTTTTTTACTCAGCACCTATCACTGCCTGATATTTTTATTTGTTCATTGTCTCTGCCCAACACGAATGTTTTATTCAGAGTTCTATCCCCAGGATCTAGAACAAGGCCTTTTGTGGACACCCAGTGTTATTGAATGAATGCTCCTATCAGGAATGCCCAGCTCTTAATACAATCTGTGGCACGTTCTAGATGGATAAAGGACTGCGTGGCAGTCCATAGGACTATAGCATAACTGGGCTGGCAATAGTATGTTTAGTAATATGTACTAGAAGCAATATCTGTTTCATGGGTGTGCGACCTCTGTAGTTGCACAGGGCTGCTAGCTTAAAAGGACCTTATGTTTGGTTTAATGCTCTGCTGTAGCCCTTTTGAAGTCCTTAATAACTTTTCAACAAGGGGCTCTGCATTTTCCTTTTACACTGGTCTTGACTGGAGGTATTGAACCCTCTCTGCCTAAATGTCTCTTGCTTCATGATCTGCAAGTGATTCCTGGTCTACGGTCCCTTAGATGACATAATACAGAACAACAGGGGGAGATATTAGGTTCACTGAATGAGGAATATTTTAAACGTTTTTTTCATTTACTTCTGAGATACATGTTATAGTGCTTCTTAACCTTTCAGGGAGTTACAGACCCTCTTGAGAATTTAATGAAAGCTGTGATCCATTTTCCTGGGAAAATGCCTCTGCGTATAAAGTGTTGTATTTATGGGGATTCATGGTCCTGGCACTAGAGATAGTGTTATGAATTGGGACTGAGAGAACGGGTTCCAGCTCTGAGCTCTAGGTCGGAAATAACTAGGATACTGTATTGGCATTATTGCTGGGTTAAACACTGGAATGGCTTGCTGCTTGCTTTTTCCATCAGTCTCCAGTACTCTTGGGACCCTAATAGGCATGGTAGTCATGGATGAGGATTTCAGACAAAGGGGAACAACCTGTTCAGAACTTATATGACTTAGAGAAATAAAATGCCCTGTACACGTTATTTAATCTATCTAAGCCTTATTTTGTTATCTCTAAATTGGTATGAGTAAATTAAAGAGCTTTATAAATTGCAAATGCTTTTACTAGTTGTATCAGAAATAAATATATAAATATCAATTTCACAATCATTTTTTTAAAGTACTTTTAAAAAAGATTTTATTTATTTGACAGAGAGAGGGAGAGAGAATGCACAAGCAGGGGAAGCGGCAGGCAGAGGGAGAGAGAGAAGGAGGCTCCCCACTGCTGAGCGGAGAGCCCAATGTGGAGCTCCATCCCAGGACCCTGGGATCATGACCTGAGCCAAAGGCAGACGCTTAACTGACTGGGCCACCCAGACACCCCTCACAATCATTTTTTGAGCATCTGCTGTGTGCCAAGCCATAAGAGGGCTAGGCAGAAATAGAAACTGAATTCAAGAAGCTTAATGTCTAGCATTGGAAACAAAACATTGTTTCCTGATGATTTAGGCTGCAGATAACAGAAAACTGTGACTTAAAGTGGCTTGGACAATAAGGAAATGTATTACTTCACATAATAGGAAGTTCAGAGTCAGCGCAGCCTCCAGGATTGGTTGATTAGATCTTCAATAATATCAAAAGCTCAGATTCTCTCCATCTTCTTTGTCAGGCTGAGAGCAAGGTGGCCATAGCTGTTCTTGTGGGTCATATTCAGCCATGACAATATCCAGAGTCATAAAGGACTATTTCTTCAATGTCTCCTAAGACATGGGGACCTTCCCAAGATTCTGCCCAACTGACTTCCCTTCTGTGTCATTGGCCAGAAATGTATCACATGTCCATCCCTAAACCAATCATCGTAAATGGATAGGTTCATTCATTGGACTTTCAATCATCTGGGATGGGATGGATGTTGAGACAACCACAATGTCTACTACGAACACACAAAGACAACATCAGACCATAATTGATAAGAAGTTCAAACTACTGACCTACTTTACTACATAGCAGGGAAGAAATTAATTCCAGAAATTGCCTGCATAAAAGTATGGTCATGTTCAGAGAACATCCAAGAGCCCACTTGATTATACAATACACTGCAAGAAGAAGATAAAGTTGAGATATTATCTGATACCTGATTTCAGGGCCCTGAAATACCATGCTAGGGACCACACTTTCATTTGGTGAGTCATCACTTTTAAGATTAACCTGGCATTAGTGTATACAAAATAGATTTCAGTGGGCTTAGAACTGTGAAGTAGCCACCAAGAAGAAGCAGGAAACCCAGATTCTAGATCTGACCTGCCATTAATTCAATAGGGCAAGTCACATCCAGCTCTGAGTTTCTTCAGCTCCAAACATTAGAGTCTTTTGGATTGGTCCAAGTAATATAGAAACACTTAAGTAGGAAATGTGGCAGTGGGACTAGAAAGGACTACACTGATGCTAGGGATATTTCTGAGGTAGAACTGATAGATGTTAGAGTTGATGGAGGAAGGGAGGGAGAGAGAGGTGTTTCATTTAAAGTAATTTTCACATTTCTTGAGCAGGTGGCTGGGACGGAGTGATGCTATTGATACAGCCAGAAAAAAGATGAATTTGAGGTGATGGTGGGACCTCAGGTAGAGAATTTGTATTATAGGCCTTGAGTTTATAAGGGAAGTCAGTGCAAGGGATATAATGGCAGATCGGCCACACAGAATGATAGTAGAAGCCATAGGTATGAGTATGACCATTGAGTCACAGGGGAAGGAAGACAACTCAGGCCATTGAGTAAGGCTCACCATTGCTAATTTAGTGGTAAAGGAATCATTGGAAAAGTCAGAGGATGACCTGTGTGTCAGATTATCTGTGGAAAGGCCAAGAAAGATCATGACCAAGAAAAATCTATGGGCCTTAGGGATTAGGAGGTCAATGGTGTTTTAGAGAATACCATTGCGATAGAATGGACATGGAATAGGAGCACAGACACTGTATGTAGACTACTACTAGGAAAGGTTTCAGAGTGATGAGAAAAAGAGAAGGGAAGCTTTAGGGTTTTGTTTTGTTTTGTTTTTATTATAGTGCAGACAGAGGTAGATTTACTGTGAAGCTTAACCTTCAGGGCCCCTTACACTTGCACAGGCCTCTTCTAAATAAAGTTCACTCTTGAACAACACGGCTTTAAACTGTGCAGGTCCATTTATATGCAGAATTTTTTCTGATAAATACAGTACAGCATTGTAAATGTATTTTCCTTATGATTTTCTTGGTAACATTTTCTTTTTTCTGTCTTACTTTATTCTAACACTACAGTATATAATACATATGACATATAAAATATCTGTTAATTGTTCATGTTATCAGTAAGGCTTCTGGTAAGCTATTAGTAGTTAAGTTGGGGAGTCAAAAGTTAATGCAGATTTTTGTGTGGAGAATCAGGACCGCTAACACCACATTGTTCAAGGGTCAATTGTAAATATTAACTTTTGTTCCTAAATTGGTGTTTGTAATTTTGTGTTCTTTTTCTTGAAGAGGGCTCCGGAGATTGAATAAGCTTCAGGCTCTACAAAACCTGGATCTGCCCCTAAAAAGAGTCATTTACAGGCAATGAAAACTGAAGATACAAGTGGGGAGGTAAGACATAGAACTAGGTCCTGGAAGAGGACGGAAAGGACAGGACGTGGAGTTACTCATGGGGAGAATGAGGGGAAGACCAAGAAATGTTGAGTTGGAATGGAAGGTTGTTGAGAGACCTCAAACTGAATGACCTTGATATCAGCAAGGCAAGGTTGGAGATGGGCAAGACAGAAATACAGAAGCCTGAGGACAAGAGAGTGCTGACAAAAATTGTTTGAGAACTCTGACTGAGGAATCCCACCTGGATGTGCATGAAGGGCCATGAGAATAAGATGGGGTAAGAATGGAAGTCTCCAGAAAGACAGAGCAGGTTCAGTATGAAAGAAGTAGTGGGAGAAATCACAACTTGTATGGAAGAATTTTTAATTTCAAGGACTTCAATGTGGAATAATTTTCAGTGATAGCATATTTCATGCTACTCTATCCCAACATATCCTGTAGGGCTGCTCTCAAATGCCATCGCTTTTATCAACCTTTTTAGTCCCTAACTTAAATTTAATCTCGCTTTTTCTCTAATTTCCCAGTACCTACTTTTTTGGTTTCACCTTGGCTATGGCTAGCTGGTTTCATCTTTGTCTCCTCTGCTAGATTATAAACTTGTCTAATTATCTTCTTATCTGTAATACATAGTGCAATCCCTGGGACATAGAAACTACCCAAAAAGTGATCACTAAGTGGACATAGCCTACTAGAAGTGAGATCCATGTAATGTTTTCAGT